CTCTTCGTCGTAAATACTTTAGACTTCTACAGTTTTTCAAAATTTATCATCGTCTAAGTCCTGTTTCTCTTTTTTATACTATTCATCGTCCTCACTATTCATCTTTACGTCTTCATCACTCTAAATATGTTCGCATTCCATCTTCTGTTGATGGTTTTTCCGCAAACAGTGCATGCTTCTTTTTTTTATTCAACTATTGTTGATTGAAATAATCTCCCAGAGTCAGTTATTTGTCTTTTTTCTTTAACGTCTTTCAAAACAGCTTTACTTCAGTATCTCTTCCAGTAAAACATGTCAGTTATGAATTTATATTTGTTCTTTTTTTCTTGTTTTCTTTTAAAAATAAAAATTTTAACGAAATTCTAAAATAATACTAAACAGTTTGAATAACACAAAATTGTGTTGATGTAGCGATAAAATGAACAGCTCTTCTAAAGTTAACCTTCGATTGCCTGGAGCCAGTTTAAGCCTGACTTAAGACAAAAAAGACAAAGAACATTTCTGACTTGAGTTTTTTTATAAAACTGGCTTCTGGTCATATCGTTAAGTTTAATTTTAAACAGCGTCTAGAAATAGCTCAAGTACCTAAGATTACTGGTTGTTCTTTTGCTCATCTGCATTTCAACCGAATAGACTGGCACAAAAATAATTAATTGGTTACGATCGTGGGTGCTACCTAGTTACAGTCTTCAATACTTCAAATGTTCTCAGTTGGCATGCACCTATGCATTGTTGTTTTCATGCATCGATTGTGTTTGATGCAAAGTTATTAATTTCGTCCATAGTTAAACTTTGCTTATTTACGGTGGAGTATTTATTGAACCCTGCCTAGGAGGAAGACAGCTGATTTTAGGCCATACAAAACCAATAGGTAGCGCTGGTAATCTGCAGTCAACTTTGATGGATTATTGACGCTCAAACTTTCTGTCTAGAGAAATTAAATGGTATGCTTGCAGCGGACTATTATCACTGCGATTCATGTAAAAATAGAGAAAGTAAAACGAAACTAAACTTTATTTGACTCAAGGTCTCAGTTTTGCTACCCGTGGCTGATAACTGAAAAAAACATTTTCTCTTCCGCAGAATTGTATGATTTTCCTCTCTACCCAATTAGAGGAACAGTTCTGTAAAGCAGCACAGTTGAAATCTTTGAATACTTACACAAACATGCGTACTCTAGAGATGTATCTGTACACTAACTCTGCTAATTGTTAAAGATGGAGCTCTCCTATAAGAGAGAAACGGGGTACTGGAAGATTTGTGTCTGTTCTGTTTTTAGCCTGCCTCACGACATTTACAACCAGTAATCCCACTATGCGCATTTATATCCAATTTTTGTCACCTATACATTTATGCTATTAATGTAGAAGGATAATTTACATAAGATTGAAGATGAAACCCTGTTATCCTCTTAAATCTAACTGATTCACCTGACATCCGTAGTATGGATAACTTCTCTTAGACACTGAATGTTGAATGAGCAAGACTTTTTGTACCCAGAAATCACAATATGTAGAAATCTGAAAAATATTTTCGTGCATGGAAGTATTAAACTTATAGCTTTTTCATCTCTTTTAGACGTTTCAGATATTGTTGTAAAACTCAGGTGCTTCTGTTATTATTTCTGTAAATATTTGGTACATGACCAGTTCTCATATTATTAAGCAATTTTGAGTTCTTCGAAAATAAAGAAGAAAAGCGAAAGAATATGATTAAACGACGATGAGCTTTTTGTTGTACGTACATCTTTCTGGTTGTTATTTGTCACGATAATCTGTATGCTTTGTTTTGGTCCTTTTAGTCGTCAACAGCGCACATTTAAACCTCGTCGACATATAGCAGAAGGTACAAAACAACATGATTTAATGAAACATGCTGCAGCCACACTAGGAAGTGGAAACCTTCGTTTAGCAGTGACATTACCAGAAGGAGAAGATCTGAATGAATGGATTGCTGTGAATAGTAAGTGAAAACAGCAGCGTGCTGTTTTATTCTTCGATTGTCATTTTATCTTTAGTTGTTGATTTTTTTAATCAAATTAATATGTTATACGGTACAATAACAGAATTTTGCACAGAAGAAAGTTGTGCTCTAATGACGGCAGGACCGAAATAGTAAGTATCACTAATATTATCATTGAAATGTTCATTGTCTATCTGTTATTATTTATAGTGAGTACCATTGGGCGGATGGAGCAACAATTAAAAAACCAATCAAATGTTCAGCTCCTCGTTACGTCGATTTTCTCATGACATGGGTACAAGAACACCTGGATGATGAGACGGTATTTCCGTCAAAAATTGGTAAGTGCTTATTCATTTTTCTTGTACAGCAGTTATGGATTCTTGATAGCTAACATCTTACGAAGAGGAGAACTAAATAACCTTTTGGTAGCGACTTTATTTTTGAAAAGGTTACCCTTTTTTAAGATGATTCATGATTTAACTTATCCCTCACTTTTAGTCTATCCTGAACTAATTAAACGAATAGGAATGAATTATATTTCTGTGTGCTTAGTACTTCCATGTTTTTTCTTCTCTTGTAGGTATACCATTTCAAAAAAACTTTTTGAGTTTATCAAAAGTGATATTGAAACGTTTATTTCGTGTATATGCTCATATTTATCATCAACATTTTAAAGAAGTTGTCATGCTAAAAGAAGAAGCTCATTTAAACACATCATTTAAACATTTTGTCTATTTTATACAAGAATTTAATCTGATTGAAAAGAAAGAACTAGCACCTTTACAAGAATTAATTGATCGTTTGACGACAAAAGATAGATGAACATATAAATCAAAAAAGGTCTCAGCGAAATCTATCATCTTATTTCTTCTCCCTCTCTCGCTCTCTTTTCATGTTGTATGTGAAAACACTATATATTATAGTTGTGTAAATGATATGTCGTATAAAAGAGCAAAAACAAACTTTCGAAAATGTTCTAGTCAACCCGAAAATTTTTTCTCTCGTATGTGTGCTTATTGTCAATATTTTTGTGCTTGTTTTCTTTCTCCGGTGGTGTATTTCGTTTTTGTTGTGAATTTATCTTCTGTATTACTTGTTTGTCGTTTCTTACATGTCAAATTTAATCTCTTTTACTAGAATATTATGAACGTACTCCATTGTTCAAGAAATTACGTCATTCCCATTCTATATATATTGTTTGTTTGTTGTTTTTTTGATCTTGTCGTACAGAAATAGTCAATAGCTCAAACGTATCTCAGCTATATTACCAATCGAATTAGATAATTCATTTTTTATTATCTAGCTCAATTTTTTTCTGTTCTATGTAACTCTTTTTTTTTCCATTTACGATAAACATATATTTGTTACGTCTCAACTAATAGTACTTTTTTTCATTTTGGGAAAATTTTCTGAAAACCTTTGAACTGATTCTTAGTAGTACAGACAAATTGAAGTATTCTATAATGATCTATCAAGTCTTGAATGCTAAAAGATTATCATGTCATTCTCATTTATGGACAATTTATCTACGAATCTTTAGGACGGTCAGATATGTAAGACAGTAGAAAATTTTCTTTAATGAACAAAGCGTTGGATATATGTCAATACTTTTTGTATATGCAATTATATGTGGCTGTTATGTTTGTAGATCTAAAAATCAGAATAAACGTTTCATCATTATCATTATTCCAATGGCATCATTTAATAATATAAATCATCAATTATTACCAACCATCGACGATCGTGATATGTATTTGAGTGTATTACATAAATCAAGTATTGGTCTTTTAAATTATGAATCATTTTCTAAAGTTCGTCAAACCGTACTCAAATATAATTGGGTCCCATGTGGGGTAACATTTTACGGTGAACATGATAATCATGACTATGCGCTTGAATTTGATCTTGTCATTGATGAACATCATTGCTATTATCTTCGTGTACCATGGAATATTGATTATGTACCAATTCAATGTCATTTATCAGCAAAGTCAATGGCAAATGCTGGCTATTCGTGGACATTAAAAATGTTAGATCGCATCCTACGTTTATTATGCAACTGTTGTCCTGGTCTATTTGAATTATCATACACAAATGGTCTATTTGGTCGTCAACCGAGTTTGTGGATTACCTACGATGGACTGAATAATACTCAAGATTATCAGAGAGATGTATTTATACTTCAAAATAAACGACTAGCTAGAGATCTCACTCAAGTTATTTATGATCATGATGAAAGTGATGTATTTCGAGCGTCGTTACATGTTCTAGGTAGGTTTCTAAGACTAAATAAATAGTTGTAATGAAAGATTTACGATTACCAAAACGAGGAATGTCTTGTGCGAAATTTAGTCTGAGATTAACGGGTGTTCCTGAATCGGGTGTTTCTGAACGGGTGTAATTAATTTATTTCAATTGCTAGTGGCTTTAATACATAAACTTCCAAGTCCACCGAAGTTTCCAGCACTAAAAAAACGTTTTGACTATTCTAGTATAAAATCCAAAGTTCAAATCATTAGTTTATAGACCAAAAAATGCAGAATTTCGCACTCTATTAGACTGTAACTTACAAATAAATCTGCTACTTTTTTGACCAGAAAAACTAGGAAATACTGGATGTCGCTAAGATGGGTGAAAAATAGGAGAGAATGACCTTTTTCAAAGACTCTTTTTCGCTCCGATTTCATATAAAAAATCATTATTTCTCATTAAAAAGCCCATCATATTGTAGAAAATTTCTTGCTGAATTTTTCGGTATACCTTGTTTTGTTGAATTAGTGGTTTTTAGCGAGGTTTTGCGCAAAAAAATCAATTTTTTAAAGATACAGTTAAAGATTTGGAGATTTTCTTATTAGAGTTACTGTGCCAAACATCAAAGATGATACTTAAAAATAAATCTACAATCTTTTAGAGAATTAAATTGTCTGTCGTTTGGTATGTAGAGGAATTTTTTCTATAAATAGGGAATGAGAGAAAAGTGCACCAAGATTTAGTGAAATTTATTCTGGGACACCCGTTATCAGGGATCCCAGATCTTCTGATTTTGGCAGAAAATTTCTGATTTTTGAGCTTTTTTTTGCCTCGTTTCTGATCTTCTGATGTTTTGATTTTTTTCTGATTTTATGTGGATTTGAACTGAAGCTTGGCTCATAGCGCATGTATTGTATCACATTCATATCGTTTTCTGTTCTGGTAGTAGGCACTGCACAATAATATCCCAATAGTTTGTTATAAGTCTTCCTTGTATAAATCCTTATCTCAGAAACTGGTCGTACTTCGATCAATCACAGGAGTCTGCGCGCTTAGAAGTATTTTGTACATACGAGCGCTCGAGAACTGAGAAAAATTCTGAAGTTTTCTGTACTTTGTTTTTTACTCATAGAATAACTGAAAAGAAAGAAACATCTCGCAGGATGGGAAGAATTGATGTGTTTTAGAGTTGTTTGACATTTATTGTTTAAAAAGGTATAATTAATTATCTGAGCACTAAAAAATTCGTATTTTGATTTTTTTCTGATTTTCATCTTTTGGATCTGAGATCCCTGCCCGTTACTATGCATGGAACAGGGACAAATGAACTACCCATTAAGTTTTTGAACAGAGACGTATGTTTCTTTAATACTAGTAGACACTTGAGTATTTGCTTGTTTCGTTTCAGGACATGGAAAATGTATTGGTACACATTATTATTATGATTTGTATGTATAAAAAGAAACGACGTTTTATTTTTGTTTACGATAAAAAAAGTCAGACTAGATCCGCGTGTGTGCAATCATATTTATTTTTTTTACTTTTTTCTGTTCTATTCAAGAGATGCGTGTATGATGAGAGTCAGATAATACTTTTTTGTCTTTTACTATTTATTTTCATAGAGCTGAGTTTGTACAAGCACTATGTGTTTGTAGTTGTAAAAAAGAATTTTTTGTTATTCGTTTTGTTAGAAACAGTGAAATTTGGAGACAAAGAAACCGTATACTTTACTGTTGTAAATCATTATGTGATATTAATTTTTCCAGTCAGATGTTGGTGTTGCTTATGAGTTACAAGCAAAATTTTCTTTCATTAAATGTTACTGATTTTTCTTTTAAAAGTATGCTTTTTTGACAACGTTGCTTTTTCATATAAAAAAAAGTCAAGCAGAACGATTAACTATTATTTTTAGAATTGTTTTGCATTTTTTATATCTATGGTTTTTGTACGAAACTTGAAGCCTTAGTTGTTTGAAAAAATAAAGTTAGTCAAAAGTGTTTTGTTTTTCCTTGGTTGCATGTAGATTTTAATACTATTCCTCGGTCTCATATCACATGTAAAGTATTTTTCACTCTGTAACAACTGAAATAAACAACTAAGCATAAGAATTATCAGCATCGTTCCTTATAGTCTATGATTTCATCAACACCCTGAGTTCATTTGATGACGTCCTAGAATATCGACCTGTATGAATGAAAATCTATCTTTGAGAACACCACCTCTTTAACGGATGCATTTGATATTTTTTTGATTTTTTTGCAACGGATTTGATTTGATTTTAAAACCTGTGCAGATTCATAATCTTCATAGTTCAAGCATTTTGCTCTTTCTCTCCAAGCATGAACGGAAATTTATTTTCTCTTTTCTTTTTTGCTACTGTTTCTGTTTCAGATCAACTATGACAACTACTGACACATATGAGGACGGTTCATCAACAATCACAGTTTCTGCCCATCATAATCGAACACAAACTGAATCAATCAAACTTCGTTCTCATTCACCCACTTTACTTTTATCACTGGAACGTCCGCGCACCGGTGCACGTGTTCGTTGGACAGAAGAAACCGTTGATAATGAATTCATGAATAAAAAAAAATCAAAATGTTGTTGTATTTATATAAAGTCATCTGAAATTGATGATTTAGATGAGAATGACGATGGCATCGACGATGCAAATAAACGTAGTGATGATAATGAGTTTAGCCATTGTGAACATTGTCGATATCATGTAACGTCTGATTATCAAGCGTCAAATGATCCAGATCGACCGAATAGAATTAAAAAAGTTAAATTGAAAATTGATGATAAAAGTGCACAGAGCAATGCCAATAACAATTTTGATAAACAATCTAGTTAGAAAATTTTTTCTTTTCCTATTAACGTAACGATTGATCTCGTTGCTTATATGTCTATGAAAAAAATCTTTTCTGTACAGTTTCTCATTTGTTTTTATTTATTTTTCATATATATGTTCGTTTGTTTTCTTGCTTTTCCTGAAAAGCAAGATGCTTGAATTACTAATCTATTCTTAGACTGGTAGTTACAAGAAAGAAAAAGAATTACCAACAATTATACTACTATCGAATTGACTTTCTTGTAGACTTTTTTCTCCCTAGAAATATTTCATTAAGAAGAAAGCTATAGGTTTTAGTGCTAGTTAAAACAGTTGTGTTTCTTCAAGAAGCATTAATTAATTATGCATCTGTTGTTTCTACAATTTTAGATTTTCGTTGGTTCTTCTCAGCCTGTGAATATCCATTCGGCAAATTAAATTACAAAAACTATCATCATGGGTCGTGTCCGAACAAAAACGGTCAAAAAAGCGTCACGTCAAATAATTGAAAAATATTATACAAAATTGACATTGGATTTTCATACCAATAAACGTGTCGTTGAAGAAATAGCCATAATACCAACAAAACGTTTAAGAAATCAAATAGCTGGATTTATCACACATTTAATGAAACGCATTCAAGCTGGACCCGTTCGTGGTATATCAATTAAATTACAAGAAGAAGAACGTGAAAGACGTGATAATTATGTGCCCGATGTTTCAGCATTGGAACCACAACTAGCAATTAGTATCGATCAAGATACCAAAGATATGTTATCGGGTTTTGATTTTAAAACGTTACAAAATGTTCAGGTTGTTGAAGCAAGTGGAGATAAAGCTGGTCAACAAGCAAATGTAATCGAAGGTGGTAGAGGTCAAGGACGTGGCGGTTATACTCAACGTGCTGGCTATGCTTAAAGGAAAATATGTCTGTGTGTGTCCTATCAGTAATGGGTTCTACTTCTTCATATTGTTAATGTCATCACGCTAAATTAAACATCAGTTGTTCTTGTAATTTTTTTCTCTTGGACACACGAATATTTGATTTTGAATAAAAATCTGAATATTAAATGGACTAATATTAAGTGCATTAAGTGAATATCAAAGACAAATTATGTTAAACGAAGCTATTGCTGTCTACTAATACTCTGGGATTATGCTTCTAGAGAAAATTTTTTTGATGAACGGGCAACAACTACTGGTTTTGTGTCAGAGGGAAACAGCGGTATTAATACCGAAAAAAATATGGCACACATACTGCTCACATGCCCAAATACCAATTGAACTTGAGTTTAAAAGGTAGACATAACTGAAATGTGCATTTTGTTCATGCTTTTACGCTCTTCCCACTAAGTAAGGTACAGCCAGATAGTACAGAAAAAAACATCCTGTTTGTAATAGCATCTTCTATCTAGGTTTTCTTGGAGCCCCACGACTGGTATCATGTGACTTCAGGTAGTCTTGGAATTGTATAAAACACACATAATCAACCACGCTGAATCTGATAGCAATGTTTAGTTTTAGATAAGAGCTCAAGAACAAGGTAAAAACTGACGAGCGAAGTACCGCAACTGATAAATCGCTTTTTGACCCAAACCTAGTGGGCTATAGGTAGTCGACGATGCTGATTCCGAATATCACCATGACTGCTACTGCTAGGCCTTCAAAGATCGGTTTTCTGGAAAACCAGTTTTCGAGAAACTCTAAACAACGGCCAAAAGCTTTTTTAATGAAGTGTAGTTGTAGTCTATACATTTCTGATTGAAATGAGGCATCTACCAGCTCTACACGACCTTTCTTTGAAAAGTTATAGAGTTTACAAGAAAAGCCCTAAATGTTCATTGTCACCTCAGAGCTACAGAAAGAAAAAGGAAAAATAAATTTAGGGCTTTTCTTGTGAATTCTATAACTTTGCAAAGAAAGGTCGTGTAGAGCTGGGAGATGCCTCGTGTTAATCAGAAATGTATAGACTACAACTACGCTTCATTAAAAAAGCTTTTGGTTGTTCTTTAGAGTTTCTCGAAAACTGTTTTCCAGAAAACCGATCTTTGAAGGCCTAGCAGCAGCAGTCATGGTGATATTCGGAATCAGCATCGTCGACTACCTATAGTCCAGTAGGTTTGGATCAAAAAGCGATTTATCAGTTGGAGTACTTCCCTCGTGAGTTTTATGAAAATTAGGGTTATCACGCTGTTTTCATCTAATATTAAAAAATTCATAGCTCACTAAGAAACATCAGGACGAGTTGAAAACTAAAATACAAATTATACTTTCGAAAGAATTCACGAAGGAATTAAAGAACAACGTAGTGGTACACCTCGGATTGTATACAAGATTGTTTTCGAAAGAATTGTTAGATATTCATTGCAAAACAGCATACCATTTTTCGCCCTAATGTTAGTTAAGTTCGTAAGCGTAGCTGGTATTCAACGGTCATCTCTCTTTGTTGACCATTTTTAAGAAATACGTTCTTTTAGATTCTTGTTCCAACGCCTTTATGAGAAAATGTGTTTTTTTAGCTCTTTGCTTTTGGTAAGATTGGTTTCGTAGAAAATTTAGCAATGAGAAGAGAATGGATTACTATTCAAACCATAGACGGCAGAGAGTCTCAGAATCAAGAGAAATTCAATTTTACTGGTTTCACCTCTCATGATTTAGGCACTTACACAATTTAATTGAATTAGTTATTTGAAGATTTTATAATCACTGATTAAAATTATTAATTCGTTTATATCTTTTTAAATGAATCAGAAATTTGTGACATACCAGTTTAAAGCAAAACATTCATGTCGTTGAAGAAATAGAGTGCGATGGACAATGCACTATATTTTTTCGCAGGATTTTATTCGACGAAACGTCACAATGAACACCAACAACAATCACGCACGAAATCGACTGTAATTCAGCCCAAAAAAACTTTTATAACACAAGAAACCACTACTCAAGCTTAACAAACTATCCAAAGATTACACAATAAAACACCACACAACTGCCATCAAAAACCTTTCAAGTCACAACAAAATTTGACAGCACCCAGTATGATCCTCACGCAGCTAACGAACTACTACAATAATGATAACATTCACATACTCCGTATTCAAATATCCTATTCAAATATTCTCTATATGTGGAACGACGCCAGATACCATTTGACTGGGGTGTAAATATCGCTGAAGTTACCACGGAGAACTCGGGAAGAAGCGAGTCAATGAGCACGCAGCTAACGATTACTCCGAAAGAGGCAGCTTTTCATATATTCTCTACAAGTGGAACGACGTCAGAGGACATTTGACTTGAGTGGAAATATTATTGATGTCACAACGACGAACTAGGGAAGAAGTGACGAGGGAACGCAGGGAACGAGCACGCAGTTGACGATTACGCGGAATAACGACAGTATTCATCTATTCTCTAAATATAGAACGACGTCAGATGACATTTGACGTGAGTGGAAGTAGGACTATTATCACACCGACGAGCTAGGGAGGAAGCGACTGACTGAGCCGGCGGTTAACGATTAGTCGGAAACAGGAAGCTGTTCATTTATTCTCTACATGTGGAACGACGCCAGATGACCTTTGTCTTGAGTGGGGATATTGCGGATACCACGACGAAAAAGTTGGGGGGAATGATGGCCTGTAAAATGAGCAGTCTGTGTTAGTTTTTAGGTAGATGTTATTTTTTTGGGTACGGCTGTGATATGTAAGATCAGTTATTCTAAAGGGCATTCCGGCGGGAAGTGGGACTTCTTCTTCGTGTGGAAAATGTGACCATGTTCATATTTTTATGCCTCCGAAGGCTGTTGCATCAATGATGAATAAGGTATTCCCAAAAGTTTCTGCTTACTGGCCGTTTTCACTTGTTGAAGTAAATGCATCCCAGCACCGAAAATCATCTGTTCTGTTGCCAATAAGACTTTATTGCAAAGCAAAATATTAGAAAAAATTGCCACACAAGTGCGTGAATAACATAGGTTAGTGAAAATGAATTTCGAAAATAAAGGGTGGGCCAGAAGTCCTGACTCGATTTGAATAATAAATTTTTCTATAGTGAAACAAGTGGTTGTAAATTTGTCTCTATGAAGAAAAGATGCAGTAAAAAACGCTCTACAAAATGACGATT